CCCCCAAAACCCCAAAACCCCGCAAGTGTGAATTTGGTCAAAATTTAAATATTGATTTATGAAATAAAGATTGTTTTATTATTATGTTGAAATCATTTCTAATTTTTATGATTGATTTTCCCTATAAGGAGTTCATTCGCTTAATGATTCATTGGTGTTTTTTCTTTTATCTCTAACTATTATATCTTTTCTATTCTTTTTGTTGCTTCCTCTATCTTTGGTTTTGGCATTTAGAGATTCTTCATCCTAGCTGTTTTCCTCAACTGCAGAGATAGTACTCTGATTGTATTACCCACTTTCCATTTTAGCAAGTATACCTTGCCTCAATTCTTAATCTTATTGCTTTTTAGACCTTCTCTTAATTAATTGATTTAACTCTTTTTACTCCTGGAACTTGTTCTTTGTCTTCTTCTGATAGTTTTTGCTTGATCTTCCAGATTTTGGGCCATATTCAACCCTGGCCTTAATCTTTTCCTTTTACAATTCTTACTCTTTTTTTGACTTTGTTTTTCTATTTAGACTAATGTTGCCCATAGAGTAGCCGCCACCAGATAAGTTGTCAGATCTCTTTCCGCTTGAATTGGTGAAGAGACTTGTCTACTTTGAGAGTGAATGAGTTTATTATTAAAAGATAAGGTCATCTTCTGGCTCTGTAATATCTGAAAATTCATTATTCTCATTACTATCGATACTAGACTTAGCCAGACTCATTTCTGTGCCAAAATTGTTTTTCTTAATCAAATCAAACTCCTCATCAAAGTCCATTAGACCCGTACCTTTAGACTCTGTCCTATCATCTTCATCTTTCTCATCTATAAGGGAGTGTGTAAGTTCTCTCTCGAATTTCTATCTATCAAATTGATCAAGCTTGTTGTTATCTTGAATGTTATTTATACCAAGCTTAGCCCAAGGCGCCTACAACAGGCTATCTAGTTTTTCTTTTTCAATCTTTTATATGCTAGGTCTTCTGAATTATTAAGATTCCATTACATCAGAGTTCGATCTTGATCTGAAATCTGAGGAAGCATCATTTATCTGATTAGTACTTGAGGAAATCTACTTTTACAAAGGGATGTGCAAGAGTATACTCTCTGAGTTGAATTAATTGTGCTCAAACCCATCCATTCCAAAGCCTCCTCTTACATCAATTGATTTTCTACCTGGCTATTATTGAATCCGGATTTGATTTAGATTATTGAAGAAGTTGTCTGCTCTCATCATATCTTGATTGTCACCTGCATCTAAATACTATCCAAACCTTTTATCATTTTTCTAATCCTCTGAAGCAAATAGTGAGGGATTCTAATTGGTATTGCCATATTATCCTCTTTGTAAAAATTTACCATGACTGCCATGATGCTTATTTTCACAAGTAGCAAAGCACACCCCTCCGAAATCATTGTCTTCTCCCCCACTTGAGCTGTACAACTTCTTATTATTATTAGTAAGATTCGATCCCCTTCTCGATTAATTGAAGAACTCCTCATCCTTTTATCTTTCCATCATTTCATTGAAGAATTGATCGTTTTACAAGTGATGATAATTTTGATGATTTTGATCTTCTCTAGGGATTTTTTCTTCTTCATAATCTTTCAGATTTTATCTTTTCGATTTCTTCTTTATTCCATCTTAGCCAGAATCTCCAATTTCTTTCTCTTCTTCCACTTCTATTATTGTATCAGGATGCATAATTTTCTTGCTGAGTTTAGAGCTACTATAATAACCACTGGTCAATGCCAATTACTTTCCTTCTTTCTTATTTAAATCTTGCTGATTAAATGCTTTGGGGTTTTATTAAACTGAATTTTCCTAAGGTTATCCTCCTTCTCTAAAATCGCTAGTCTTTGATTAAGGCTTATCGAATTATTTTTATAGCCTTTTCATTTGGCCTTTCTTGCTGTTTGGAATATAATTCTTGATATCTATCTTGTCAAAACTGTGAGTTGATAAGTAATTTGCGAAAAATTCAAGATATTTAGGGAATCCATAACATTTCTTTACAGAACTTTCATGCTAAAGTTATTGATGAATGTTCTATCGTTCATCGTCAGTCATCTATAGTTCCTCGAAAGTTATCTTCCTATGGCAGTGACTCAAAATCATGTCTACAGCTTCAATGTCATTAAGTGGCTTAAGTTTGTGAATCATTATAGATTTTTCTAAGCACTAATAGTCTTTAGATTTAATCTCCTTCTTGGAGGTAAGAATAAGTTTGAGTTATTCTGTTGACTAAACCAAACTAATTAAGAACCAATCAAAAGATGTTTTATTATGTTTCAATATAGTGTCGATGTTATCGAAAATAAGCAAAATGTTCTTTTTCTAAAGATCTGTATTTAACTCCTGGTTTTGACTTCCTCCAATATTAAGTTCCTTTAACTTCAGTTTAATTTACTCAGTAGTTTTGACCCTTCTGAGATCTAGTATGAAAATTCCATCTTAAAATTCATATCTCGTTGAAAGATAGTAAGCTGTTTCTTAAACGAATCTTGTTTTTCCGATTCCATCTAGCCCAACTATATTCACTATCTTTATTTTCTGCTTTTTCAAGTTACCGATAAGCTTATTAGTATCAATTTATCTTCCAGTATATGGTGTTGAGGGTTTGTTAATTTGAATGTTAGTTGGGCCTCTAATCTTTGAAGTATCTAGGAATTGCCCTGATTTTAGAAGCATTTTGTCATCAAAAGACTGGCCATCGAATAGTTTGTCTCTATGCTTGTAATCTGAGGGATGTAAGATCGGTCCTTACCCAATATCGTCTTAGCTAAGTGAAAAATTCTGCATCTAGTTAGACACTTTTCTGATTCCATCGTTTATACTGGGCTTAGCTTTTCTCCAAGATTCAAGTATTGTCTTTTCTAGAATCAAATTCTTATAGAACTCCACACAGAAGTCATAGATGTAGTCATATCTCTTGGGTAGAGTATAGACATTATACATGAAATTGCTGAGGAAATTAGGTTTAAAGTCAAAGGATACTACGTGAGGTACTCCCATTTCAACGAATGCTTAAGCCAGTTTCTAACTTTCAGGGATGGCTAGGACTACCAAATCAACATTCAATCCACTTTCAAGAGGATCGAGTAGGTTTTTAAGCTCAGCTATCTTGATGTATTGAATCTCTGCATTTTTGCCCTCTATGCAAAGATGGTCTGGGGAGTAAACATCTGAAGAAATATGCAATACTCTGCAGCCATAGTTCTTCACATAATTCAATAGTTCCAATGAGAGTATGTCAAACTTAAGATTCACTACTTTATTAAGTTTCTTTACCTCAGAGAATATTCTCTTCCTAAAATCCTATGGATATCTTGTGAATGTCCCTACAACTCTCACTGTCTTTGAACTTAGTACTTCTACCAATGGGAATGCTTTTGCAAAGATAAACACATTATTGGAGTGGATTCTGATTTTGTCCAGAACTTGATTTAGAATTTCGCTGCATAGTGCCTCCTGATGTGTGTCTTAGATTTTTCTTGCTATGTTTAATCCATCCTCAATATGCTACTTTGCATCATACCAATCATCTTGTCTGTACTTTAGAAGTGCTAGATTTCTTAGACATCTAACATGCAAGCAATCATATCTGAATTTTTTGAAAATTTGAATCGCATCTATTAACAGCATAATTAGCTTTCTAGGATTATATTCTATAGGCAATCCACTTCCATAGCTTTTCTCTATTTAGAACTCAGCTTCTATTAAATTAACTTTAGCTATTCCATATTCTAATGATGCTTTCTTGTAAAATTTCCTTGAATTCTGCAGATGCGATAAGACTCCTTCTATCTCATACTTGATACTCTTACTTGAATTAGTCTCAGTGTTATTTGAATTAGAAGGAGTATGAATATTTGACATGTTCCCTCTATCAATGTTAAGCTTGAGTGATCCTAAACCTCCATCTATTCTTGTTTCGTAGGAATTAGATCTTTCCATGAAATGACCTTAATGATGTTACTAAGCTCTTACAAAGCTTTCTTCATTGTCATCGTACTAGTTGAACTTTTAATTGATACTGAGAATCAATGAAACACTCTTTAAAAACATCGCATCTGCTGCTCCATCATAGAATTCAAGGTCTAAGAATATCTTTTCTGCCTAGTCTAAAAGCAAAACCACATCATGATATTTGCAATGTTGTCTCAACATAATTGAGCTTTAAACCATAAGACTTTTAGCTTTTATAAACTTTAAGTCAAATATATTAACGATCTCTTTAGTCTTTTAAATACATAATTTTGCTTCTTCTAATCTCTCCATCATTATAAGAATTGATGGTATGTTGATACTAAGCTCATCTAAATATTAGCTGAAGGGAGTTTTATAATCAAGTTTTTAAAAGTGACATTTGAGAAGAGGGGCATCAAGAAATCCTATCAAATTTGCCTCATAAATATTGAATTTAATTTCTGGATTGAAGACCATATTTTATTCTAGCTCTTGTTCAGATAAGGGAAAATTAGTTAAATTATCTTTCCAAATGCCAAGGTCAATCTCAGACGAGACACAATACAGATCGATCTCATTTTTCTTTTGGAATTTAATACTTCTTAAAAGTTTTCTAGACAGTTTGGCTAGGTATTTGAAACTTTCTAAAAAGTTATATGTCTAAATTTCTTTAGTGAGTACTAATTTATTGATGTATTCCAATACGATTGGCTAAGCTATGTAGTGATGTTCTTATAAATCTTCATTGTAATTTGAGATTACCATTCTAAAGGAATTTTTAATCTTAGTTTTTAGAGTATTCTTATCCAGAGTTTAACTTAAAAGTGTCTTGCCATCCTATGATATAACTTCAAGAAATTTTTTCCAATCTCCATATTAATATTGCTAGCATATAGTTTCTATATCCCCTTAGAAGAGTCCAGCTGGAAACTAGCACATTATGTATAGCAGCTAAATTTCATTCTAAAACTTGGCCTATAAATCTCTATAAGATATATTCATGATCCAACTGAATTCTCCAAACTCCATACTTTATTTAGGTTCCTCTGTATAACTTTTTGTAAGACTTTACTAGTTTTTCTGTTCCTCAATGTCTTTTACAATTGAATCAAGATCCTTTGCTTGAACTAAAGGAACCATTTAAAGTATACCTACTGGTTTATAAGATATCATTTAGAATATCTTATGTTTTGATAGTTTTCTTGGATCATCCTTGTATAAAGCTAAACTTTTACAGTTTCCAGCTGCTGTTAGCAAAAGCTTTGCTGCATCAAAAATGCTAAGCTCTGTTATTTCTACTTGAACTTTGAATCTGTACTTTTCAATGATATCTCCCTTGTTATAAGTAATAACTGCAAATTTTGCAAACATTGTATTCTTAACTAAGTACTTTAGAGTTTTATTTAACTAATCCTTTCCCTATTCTAAAATTTTTTAGCATTTATCGATGATGATCAAAATGTGAGAGCTTTTAATGATGTCGCAAAGCTATTCTTTGTTACAAGTTGAAATAATCAATTTTTAGCATATTTTAGAAATCAAGCCTTGTCCTGAATTTCGGTTTTAAATTTCTAGGAAATAAACACCATCTTAAAATTTTCTTCGATCTAAGGTATATTTAGCAGCATAATTTGCAATTGCACTTTTGCCTAGACCTTCTTACCCGTAGATGTGAATTAATCTGCATTTTGGAGAATCAGAGAAAAGATGCGATACTATAATTTAAAGTTCTCTATTTCTACCAATTAGCATCTAAGTATCAATATCGTGCTCTAATTTATTCATCTGATTCACGTCTTATTCAATTTACAAAACCCCGTCCTTTCTCTTTTAAAAGAATTCCTTATCTAGATACTCATCTTGTCCATTTATAATGAACTTGATTGACTCATCATGAGGTATATCTGAATGGCAACAGCATAATTTCACCTTATCTCCCATTTGAGGTGAATCAAATTCATCTACTGTCATATGAATAAGGTCTTCATATTCACTCAAAACTGAATGGAAATTTGTGTAAAAATTACAATTATCCTTGTGAATATTCTATTTATTACACGAGCAAGTTGGCATATGTAATTAATGAGCTTTTTCATATCCATGCTTTTTTGCGTAATTTTCCCATTTACAATATGGCTTATGATCATGAGCACAACAGCATGAAAATTTATCTATTTTACTTCCTTTAACCACTTTTTATGCCTCTTAAAAAGCCTTTCTTGGTGTGAAGCCGCCTTACAAATGGAAGTAAAAGTGTCTTGCAAATAATTGGCACACTTCATCTAGGATCATTGTATGAGAGTTAACCGCCACAACTACAGGAATCTTAGCTCTTTAAAATATTTTTCCAATTTTTTCAGAGTGGCAGGCACTTACAAATACTAATTCAACTTTATGATTTGAACCATCACCTAGGAGTGAGCCTAGTCTTTCTTCGGTAAGCTAATCGAGAATTCCAGAGTCTTTTTCTTCAAAGGCTAAATAGTATTATTTTAAGGTTAGATCATAGTCGCCATGGCAACTTATATGGATAATTGAGGGTTGAGCTGCCAGAATTTGTTTTAGATTTTCAAAGTTTACAGCATCTTTTCTTATAGTAAATACTTTCTTTCTCTAGGACAATATTTTATATATTTCCCTAAATTCAATTTCAGTATCTAGAGGTGAATCCATTGGCCATAACTTATCCTTATCTCTATATACTAAAGGATCTGAATAAAGATAAGCCAGATCTAATTTCTTTTTTTAATGAGAATAGTTACCATTTTGCTTGGTATTTTTACCCTGGTTAGGGCTGATTCCAGAGTCGTTGTGACGATTATAACTGTAATTTTAGAATGATAATTCTGATTGATCATGATATCTATCATTTGAATCCTCTGAGTACTCGGATTCTTCATATTCATTTTCATCTTTAGAGACGTTTGAAGTTCCATCCGTGGAATTCACTCTCTAGCTATAGCTTTTGGCAGACTCTTGCTTATCTATTTTATGTGATTTTTATCGTTAATGTTCGTGATGTTTATTCTTGCCAGCATCTTTTGTAGAATTAGCTTTATTTTACCTATGAGAATTAATCTTTCTTGTGTCCTTAATAATCTCACTATGACATTAATGGCACATGTATTCATGTTATGATTATCTCTGAGTAAGAGCTGGCTAGTTCATTTGTTCCGTCAAATATTAAAAGTCATCAGAAACACGTGGATGATCAAGAGCGGGAGGTTTTTAACCATCAATATTTTGAATTGAAATATCTCTTGACCTGATTGAGTTAAAATCGTTGAGAATGAAATGAGTCTCAAATTTAGATTCTAAGTTGCTCATTTTTTCCTTAAGCATTTGAATTTCCTTCTCAAGTTCCTCAACTTTTGTAGGATCTTTTATGCTCTAAGCTCTCGATTCTCTTACTGGGGCAATTATTCCTAGTGAGCCTAAATTTTGAATATTTGCATGAAGGCTAGTTCTTGAGGAATCTCTCTGTGGTCCTTCTCTGATAAGCATCTCTACGATTTGTGGCGATTAATTAACCGATTAGTGACCTTGATCTGTCCTAATCGAAATTTCATTGGGTATCTCTGTCCAAGATCTGATTCGTTCATCATAGTATTTAAGCGCTTAGATGTTGATTCTATTGATGCTTTCCTGTTCTAATGAATTAATGATAGCATCTCTTGTAAATACAGCACTTCCATCCTCAGTGATTATTAGAGGTTGTACATTTAAGCTGTATGAGTCATCTCGTCTTGCGACTCTTTCTACTTCAAAGCAATACTTGAAAATAATATTCAAGTGCTTTGACTCATTTTTATCTAAGCTGTGATAATTGTGAGTCATTTAGTTAAATAACAATATATTAATAAGCAATGATTTGGTTACCTCCTAAAAATAAATGATTAGAATATTCAGGGGTTTTGGGGTTTTGGGGTTTTGGGGTTTTGGGG